TTAGGGAAAACCAGAAACAGAAACTAACAGAAACCACCCGAAACTAGTTTAGGTTAGTAGTTTATGTTTAGGTTTAGATTTCTGCTTAGTGTAAGTTCATTTTCCGAAAAGTTTCGGGAAGCCAAAAGAGTTTCTGGTCACAACACTGGTAGCACGGTATGCGTGTTTTGTATGTAACACGAAAAGCAAAAGCTCACATTACGTTCTCAGTTGTAACCTTCATCAGGAAAATAAATCTCATGTAAACCTACGTAGGGTTTAAAACTGACCAGCATTATGCGGAAATATTAACAGAATTACCAAAATATCGACATAATGCCGGCCAATTCTGAACCCTACGTAGGTTTATGTAAGATTTATTTTCCTGATGTTGTTTTAAATACAATAAAAAATTTGAATAAACAAATATCCCCGTATCTAATAAAATTAGACTGTTTGGGTCAACTAGGCCACTCTTTTCTTTTCATGTTAGTTCCTGAGAACAACATTTAATGTCACATGTAATTGCAAAAAAAAACAACTTTCATGACAGAGAAAACTAATTGCTTAGGGAAACACCAAAGTAATTTCTCATTAAAAGTAAGGTTTCATATAAAATATGGTAATATTATTCGAAAAAGAAATATACTTTTAGCTTTTTGTTCTACAAATAATAATAATTCTACAGTTCAAAATTTTTATTTGAAGGTCTGGAAAATCACTAAATGAAACTTATACAACATTCGCTTTTATTCAAAATTCTTGGAATATTATAACAATGATATTACGCATTATATATCTCACAAAATGATAGATAACTAGCCATTAAATCATATTTTTTTTGAATGTTTATGTTGTACGTAAACATGAAATCTATGCGAATTTGCAATTCACATGTGTGAAAATTAAATTAGCCAATAAAACACCATTTCAATTTCAACAGTTTATATTAATATGATAAAAAATAAATCTTTAAGTTAAATTTCACTCACAGAAGAGAGAATTAATAATCCTTCTAAAAATTTAGTACAAGAGTTATCTATATATATTGGTTGAAATTAATGATAAGATTAACTTGTTTGTTTATTAGCCCAGATATTGGATTTGTTGCCTATTCCAAAGCTGTACCGTAGAGCAAAGTACAATCATATATTTAAGATTTCTTATTTACTATTACGGAATATTTATTTTATTTTATACTAATACTATATATAGAGTCGCAACTTCCAATTATACAATGTGCAACTCATCACAAAGAACATTTTGAGCTAGGAATATCGTTCATTTAGGATGAATCGATATATAAATATGAAATAAATTTTCGGTTTAATTATAAAAAATACATTAATTATAAAAAGTTAAAGTAAATTTTATAATTTCAATATGAATATTCAACAACAATCAAACCAAGGCCAGCCAATCCAACCAATTCAAATTTCCAATCATCATCTTTCTCAACAACAAACTATCAATCAAAATATATCTCAGCCAAATCTTTCTCAACAACAGCAACTTCAGCCAGTTCAACATTACTCTCAACACGCTCACCAACCAATTCAGAGTTATGGACAATATAATCAAAATAGCGACAACAATAACAATATGATGATGGTTCAAGCTTTACCACAGCAATTGTTTTATAACTCATTCACATCATCACCTACAATTTATGATAACCTAAATTTAAATATTACTTCGTCTAATATTCATCACGGTATCAATGGTAATGATCCTTTAATTTCAAGAATTTCTGATCGTTTGTTGATGATTAAAGATTCTATTATGACAATGAATCAACAATATGCTGAATTGGAACAAGATTTCATTAGATTAAGACGTAGATATGATCAATAATATAGAAATTTTCATTTAATACCTGATAAAATTTTTATTTATTATCGTAATGTAATGTTAGTTTTATGTAATCGTATGTAGTTATAAAAATGATAAATTTTATATAATAAAAATTTTTACACAAAATATTTCATTTTTCATTTGGAAACTTACCTAAATGAATGATTCTTCATTTATTGACACATAACAAAAATTTATTTATCTAAAGGTGGTGATAATGGTATAACATAAAATTAAATTTTTATTTTGCAGTTATGTGTGTTAAATTAGCAAGCAGATGTATCGTAGTATTCAGAAATTGCGTCCTGTTGATGATATCTAGTATTAGTCGAAAGTCGATGAAGTCAAAAATTATTTCTCTTATATATATTACTAGAAATAAAGTCAAGATTTTCAAAATATTTATATTGAACAAAAAATCTGTTCCAAAATTAGAATTTTTTTACGCCTTTATTATTAAAATGAAAGAATGGGATTTCTCTCGCTCGTACACAAAAAAATAATTGGTGATTTTCCATTTATTGATGCGGAAAAATTTTATCTAATACTAAAAATGGTTTTTCATTTATTTATTGGTACGAAAAAAGTATTTATATACTGTAATTGACGTGTCATTTATTTGATACGGAAAAAAATATTTACCAAATACTAAAAATGATTTTATTTATTGAAACTCGTACACAAAAAAAATTTATCTAAAAAATGATTTTCATTTATTGAAAAATATTTACCCAAATGACGACTTTTATTTATTGATATGGAAACTCACATGTTAATATATACTATTTTTCATTTATTAGTACGCCCATCTCTGAATCAATTCAAATCACTTTTCTTTTTTCGAAAAGAAAAAGACTGCATAATTAGTCAAATGATTATTTTGTACAATTTAAGGAGACAGATTATTTTCGCGATAAATAAACATCCAAATTAGTGAACTTTTATCAAAGGAAATACGTTACGCAAGATAGATGTCTCCAGTGACTGTTTATTCAATAAAGTGTTTATTTGGGCCAGTTGGCTGTTTTTTCTCGCCGTGCACAGAAAAATAGAATTTCTATTCGAATAAAGTGCATTCAAATCATCAGTTAATTTTAAGTTCCGATCTTTGTCGTAAACAGAACTTTTCATTCATTTCATATGGGTTTCCAAAACTAGAGGATTTTGTAACTGTGCGAAAGTCAAAGGTTTCGCCACAAGTCGAAACTAATTTTGACCTTTGACTTTTGATTCATTTTGACATATAACTTTAATTTTAGTTTTGACAGCCATCACTATTTTATACTGAATTTAGAAGATTTGCAAACTATTAGGTCTTTGATAAAATTGATGGATAGTCTGTTAGCCGAGCAGGATGGATCTCGTGTGATCACTATTCTTTTTTATATCACCCTTGATTATTTTAGTAAAATGTATATCTTTTGCCAAGCGCATTGGTGGTATCAGCTTCTCTGAAAGATTTTACTTTCTCATTTTGTTGACTCAATTTTTTTTGGGTTTGGGAGAATCAATTTTCTGAACTGAGACAGTATCCTGTACCGTTTCTGATCTAGTCAACCAAGGTTGGTTATCAAAGCGTCTCCTTTCGTCTCACATGATGAAAATAAATGTGACGTAGTAGGATTTCACCACTTTAGGGAATGTGACGAATGTTACGAAATCGACGATAAAATAGAACCCAATTATTAAAAAAAAAAAAAAAATTCACAATGTCAAAATTCTAATTCACCAATACCTTCTCAATTGTCATGAATTACACTACAACAACATCAGGAAATTTTCCCCGCCATAAATATTACGTCCATAAATTTTAATATGTAAAGTTGCGATATATGCATAAAAAATTATGTAATATTTACGCTGAATGTAATAATTGCGGGGCCCACCGTAAACTTATGTAAATAGTGTAATAATTACGTAAATCCACATCAGAAAAAATTTACTGATGAATTAGCAATTAAATCATTTCACGTAGTGATGGATATGAACGCATCTTTCATATTTAGGGTGACTTTATGTGAAGAATCGTCAAAATTTAAATATAAAAAGAATTAAAAAAACATACTTTATCAGAAAGGGTTGAAACAAAAGTTAATTTTGGGATTAAGAATGGTCGACGAAATACTTTGCAGGGCGGGGAATTGTTTCGTCACATTTGACGAAATGTGACGAAATTAAAGTTGACAAATTAAATCGACCAAATTTTCATGACAAATGATCAAAGATATGGCCAAATATTGATTTTATATATATTAGTACAGTAATGCCACCAAAAAAATGATTTAGATTCGGAATTCTTTCTTTGTCTTATCATCATGATAAAAAGAATTGAGAATAATAACTATGGTAAATACCCAATGTTACTCTACATATTGAATTGCTATATAAAATGCCATGTATAACACAATTAATTGAACTATTAAAACTTTAGATTCTCAAAAAGTGTGCTTTGAGCATATGTGCCGATTTTGTTTGGACCTCAAAATTCAGTATGGTATGAATACCTTATACTAGCAATAATAATTGGTTTTGAGGTAGCGCCGTTGGTTGACGGGCTATCAAATAGTAAAAATAGTTTTTTTTTGGCGGAGCAAATAAATTTATTTAGACCAGTTACATACATACACAATAAGATATACATGTAAGCCTGTTAAGTTGTATGCAACAATCAATTGTTTAAAATAAATAAATGACTGACCTATCGAGTTTACATGTGTGTAGGGTTTGAAAGAAGGGCCCAAAAAACCAAATCGACTGATATGGTAATTACATATGACCAGCAATTTTTCCATCACTATCCTTGTCCAAAGTTGGTGCATGATGTTAATATATTGGCTGAAATGTTTACACCATATAAAATTATCAAATATATGTTTATTATTTGGTAACCTATAAACATCGCAAGTATCTGATTGATTGGCTAAATCAATTTCGTCAATTTCGTCAAAAGATCCTTGGAGATAAATATGTATATCGAAAAAATTTTGTTTTTGCATGCATAGCGAGCATTAACTTTACATGAAATTCTTTATTTATCTTGCAGCAAAGAATATCTATTCAAATTTCTTATGTTCAATCGTATCTGATGGGTGTTAGTTGATGAAGGAATCCTGGCTGCCTTAATAAAGATAAATAAAAAAATTGATTTGACGCGACCTTCATCATTATAAATGATCCATATAATAAATTATTTTAGCCGATGATATATAATTTATATAAAAATAATATAAATCATTTAAATTTTTGTAATTACTTGAACAGTTATTATAATATAAACGTTTGATTGATTCATACTTTTTTTTTATCCTACAAGCCAAGAATTTTCTGTATATATCTGTTCACAAAAATTTAATAGTTTGTCCCAAAGAAGGTAGTCATTCTGACAAATGACAAAGCAAACCATAATCAACAATTTCCTGTCTTAATTGCGTCAGCTAATTTAAAAAATTCTACTCTGCTAAAAAAATGTCAAACTATTTTAGCATATTAATATGTGTCAGTCTATCTTCCAGTAAAAGGGTTTTCATATAAAATATGATCTGTAAATAATAGTAATTCTTATTTAAACTGCTAAATGAAACTTTATATAGCATTGGATTTTATTCAAAGCTCTTTCTATATCTCCTAGATTTATTTACAATTTAAAACCTGGAATATTTATATTTAGGGACATGATATTAGTCAGGCATTATAAAATTCATTTAGTCAGTTGGTAGAAAAACATTAGTCGCTAAGCCAAAAATAAATTCCAGCTGATGAAAAACTCTCAGATGGTAGTACTATGCTTGTCAGTATTATTATTACTATTACTATCGTCATTATTATTATATCTCCTAATTCGCCACCATTGTACTGTTTAATGGTTCACTATTACTAGGTTTCTATTCGAATAAGGTTTATGAATTTGAATATTCGAATTACATTGAAGTTTATATGAATAAAACAGGTGAAACTAATAAAATTGAGTTGTATTTGTATTACAAATAGAAACTATAATTATTACTATGGTTTTCTTTATTATTATCTTTTACCCTGCTAAAAGCATCGTGGTTTTTTTTTTGAGCAAATATATGTTTTTTCTTTTGTCATCCAAGTAATGCAGATGAACCCATCTCAACTAAGTGTCTATGCCACTGAATCCTGCGCTAAAATTCCAGTCGTAAAAATAACTGTCAAGAGAAATCTTTTTTAATTATCTTAGCTGGGAGAGCCGTTTAAAATTCCTTAGCCGGCTCATATCGCTACATTTAAAGCTATAATTTTCTTTAACTAGCCATAATTAAATCTTAATTTTCAAATTCAACAAATTTAAAAAGTAAAATTAACTTTCAAACAAACCATGATGTTTTGGAATTTTCTCAGACTAACATTTACAATGTTTATTATGACATTTGATGTTGTCATTGACATAGCGAATGATTCATCACACGAGTAATAAATAATATCTAGATTAAGGAACTAGTTTCGAAACAATAATGTGTGTCTACCAGGTTTTTGGAATTCATAAAAATCAATAATTCTGTCCCCTTTTGGGCTGGGTTGTTGGGGAGAGAGGATCAATAAAATAAATTCCTTCTCAATTTTATAGTTCCTTAAAAATCATATTCATAAATTTGATGATATTGGTCACAGGTGTCAGATTTAATTAGTTTTCCTGCCTCTAACAAGTCAACAAGTGTTTTCACACACTCCATGACCATGGAATTTTTTTTCCACAAGGGGGGGTGAAAACTGGTTGGAGGGCTTTAGACAAGTGAAATACTGTTGTGAGGTGGGCAAAACTTCCCTTCATTTTCCCTTCGCATATGGGAATGGATCACTGAATGAGGGTTGTTGTTTGCGTGATGTTTGCTTCATGTTACCTCCAAAGTTGCAATTTCTTAGTTGCAGATCCATTTTTACCCTAGAGGTAGGATTGTTGTTGCAAACTTTTCTGTTTTCTCCTGATAACATTAATCAGTTACTGTAAGGGAAAATTAGGACCCACAAAAGTGTCCTTG